AATATAAATAATATAAAATATAATAGTATGAAATATAAAAGATATAAGATAAAATAGTATGAAATATAACAAAATTAGAATAAAATAGTATGAAATCTAAAGGATTAGTATGAACTAAAAGGAGTTACAATCTGTAGATCATATATTTACTAACTATCCAATAGAAATATACTATAAATAACATAATATATCTTATATCAGGTGTTAAATTTATCACATAGTGACAATATAATTATTTAAATTATTAGTTATTATATTATATACTAAATTTTTATATATTATATTTAAATAATAAATCATGAAAGTAATATATTACTTTTATAAATTATTATAATTATTAATTCTTGTTTTCAATTTTTAAAATAAAAATAAAAAATCAAGTTTTGATTTTTATTCAGAAAGTTTCCAGTTTTTTATTTATTTTTATTATTTTCAGAAATTTTCTGATTTTTTAATCTGGAAATTTACATTTTTTTTAAAAAATATTTTACAAAGTATTTTAGAATATTGACTAAATATCTTAGTATTTATTTTGATTTGTTTTGAAAATTAAACATTATATTTTTTATATATTTCCAATTTTAAAACTGGAATTTTTTAATTTTTTGATAAATAAACTAGAAAACTGATTTTAAAGTGCAATATTTATCACTTACTGGTAGTTAATTCGGAATTATCAATACTGATTATAATAGATCTAATGTAATTTGATAACTTCTCGAGTGAAATTATTGATAAATGGGTGTTTTATGCTTTAAAAATGAATTTATTTATTAAAGAAATACAACAAAATGAAATGTAGGAAAATAAATACAAAAATTTCGAATATTAAATTAATATAAATCTATTCTAAATTTAAAATATTTGACTATGTTTTAATACACTTCTAAAATATATCGTTCCAAATCCTTTAATCGATTAACCCGATCATTAGCTTCACGTACACTCAACTGACCAGCTTTCACAAAACTATCCATAATCGCATCCCGAACATCAGGCACAGGCCAAGTCGGTCCACACAAATAAAACCATCCCTCTTGTTTCAATAAATAATCATGTAGTAATTCTGCGTCCTCTTGCATCTTGTGTTGTATATAGACTTTTTGTGGTTGATCACGCGAAAACGCTAATCGAAGATGTGTGAGAACTCCTTCAGCGTGGTATGCTTCCAGCTCTTCGCCATACAAATATTCCATTGATCGATTTCTTGAACCGAAGTATAGAATGATGGGGCCAACGTCTATTCCTTTGGATTTTTGATATGCACGTTCTTCGACGAAGGCACGGAATGGTGCCATTCCTGTTCCAAGGCCAGCCATTATTATGGGTTGTGTGTCGATTGGAGGAAGTTTCATTACTGATGATTTAATCGAGACGACAACTTTTTCGCCGACCTTTAGTTTTGATAAGTATCTTGTGCATTGTCCATATCGTTGTTTACCGGCGGAATTTGTCCATTCAACAGTCACAATTAATAAGTGTACCTGGTTAGGATGTACATTATTTGATGACGCTATTGAATAGTGCCGTGGTTTAATCGGTGTAATTAAATGCATTAAATCTTGTGCAGGTGGCCGGGCAGATTGAAATTCGTAAAATATATCAGCATATGTAGTTGTATCTTCAACACGCCGCTTAAATTCCTCTAATCCATCAGGACTTGCAATCCATAATAATTTATTCTTTTCCGTCTCATCTTTAGCATATTTTGCTAATGATTCATAAAATCTTTTTGGTGGCCGACCAAAAATATCTAAAACTTGAGTGAACAGCTGTAGGATAGTTCTTGCTTCATATTGATTTCCACCCTTATCTGGCGCATAAATCACATCATTCGGTTCAAGTCCATAATATTCCAAAAATTGATTAACTTCGTTCAGGTCATTATGCCCATAAACTCCAAGTGCTTCTCCGATATTATATGTGAATTTGTCATTCTCATCAATATCAAATTCAATATGAAATAAATTACGATCATATGTCAACGGAGTCAATCTTCGATTCTCTGACACTCTTACAATAAAAGTCTTTTCCGAGAGATCAGGACGAGTTTTTTCTTTTTGGTCGTACGATTCTTTGAATAACAGATTTAAGGCAACTTTATGCCAATTATCTAGTTTTGTTTCTTGTTTAGGTGGTTTATCGAGATTGGGTCCAAATGAATTATTGGTTATCGTAAATGGTAAGTTTTGATCTGATTTTTCAAGCTGAGACCATATCGTTGAGAGTGATGCAATGTCAATTCGAACCAGAGAATTCTCTGTTTGTTCTACAATAGCACGAACTATAAGTGTTACTTCTTTTTCGTTCACACCTTCGTAATGATTGGCTATCGCGTCTTGCAATGATTCATCTAATTTTGTATTGCTATATAATCTCAAAAATGCTGCTTGTAATACTATATTAATAGTATCGGTCGAAGTCGTTGACGATAAAGATAATCCAGTGTCTTGAACAATTTTATTAGCATCAATTAAATAAAGTTGAATGTTTCGTTTTGCAGCTTCATGTTTGAAATCATTAGGTAATTTTGTTCCTAATTCAACAACATTCCATTCCGAATTCAATAATACCACGGTGTGTTCTTTCGCTGCATGCAATATATTATATTTCGTGATTAAGTCAGCATTGTGTATCGCAATATAATCTGCATTATATTCGTCATCATATACTCCGGAGATCGGATTAGAACCGAATCTTAAAAGAGTAGTCACAACTCCTCCGTTATTATACACGTCGTAAGTTGACAAACTAGAGAAATTTAGTTGAGGAATGCCGGCGAAAATGTTTGCTATATGTGCAGTTGTGTGTACAGTTCCATGATGTTCAGCGTCCCAAAATATGCAATTTTTCAAGTTATTTGATGGGGACGGAGTATCAAATAGATCGGCATTAAAATTTATGGTTTCTCCAGAGACTAATTGATGAAGAGCTAATTTTATTTTCTGTGCATTTAATGTTTGAGTGATTGGATATTTAATGGTTACAACTTTCGGAGTCTGAATCTTTTTCCTAGTCCAAATTTCTGATTGAAAAGATGCCGAGATATCGTTGGATAAAATTGAACTATTTCTGCAGACTCCATTATTCGTATTTAAGACATGTTCGAATACAGCGATACGTTTTGTCGTTTTTGGTAGAGCGTTCAAGAAATGATTAATTGACCATGGTCTATACACACGAATAATTACAGCACCAACTTTTCCACCATACTGCGAAAGATGTTTAACAGTCTCTCGCACATAACCAGTTTCATCTCCCAATACCACAAAAACGGATTCGGCATCATGTACGCCGACATATTCAAATAATCGATAATGTCTTCCTAATTTTTTCCCGACTTTATTTGCCACTGATTCAATCGCATCGATAAGTAAATTATGATTGAAGGAATTTGCTTCCGCATTAATTTCTTCCATTAAGTTTGCAATGTCATCGTAAGATAAAAGATTTGCTTTTGTTAATTCATGTGCTGTTTTAATACCGTCGAAAATGTGTAAGAAAGGAGATTGGGTCAAAGATGAAGCTAAATGTGCTATCAATGCTATATCGTGTGTCTCTTGAACCGAAAAAGAATTGATTATAGATACGCCTGTTTCATGTGCACCTAGTGCGTCGTGATAGTTAACTATGTTGTTCATATCTTGATCTTGTCCTTGTGCTGCCACATGTATTACTATGGGAATCTTTTGAAGCGCGATCGTATAGAGATTCGGGATCGTATTTACAATTGCTTGTGAGGTAAAGAATGCAGAAAACTGCCAATTCGAAGATAACTCTGACGATTCTGCCAAAGCAACAGCAGCTCCAAGAATTGCGGTAGCAGCACCAATACGAGTTTGCATTTTTTCAACTCTCCCCACCTTTCCGAATACATTCTGAACATTCTCCGTAGACCAATGTTCAGTTAGACTTCCAATATATCCCAATCTTACATTCGGATAAACGAATGTATTCGTGCTTAACGCATAAGTGACATACTCTAAAACCGTTTTTCCATCAACAAGTTGATCACCGCCTGATCTCTCAATCGATAAAACCTTATCATTAATTTTCGATCTAATCCGTAATTTACATTCATCGTCGGTATTATCGTCATTTGATTGAAGCTCATTCACAATTGTTGCATCGGATTTCTTTTCATCGTTACTTGAGGATGTTGAAGACGACTCATCACCAATTATATCCAATATATTTTCTTCAGTGTTCAACAATAAAGAGGTAGAAGAATTCTCTGTTGATAGTGATGCAATATCTTCGGCGGATAGTTGAGCAAGCTGTCCCAATGGTAGTGTATCGATAATCTTCGATAAGAATGACACGTTGATACCATCATCCAAATTCTTTCTTAATAAAGCGAGATTTTTGGACGCAGCAATAATATCCTTTTGTCTCGGTATACTTTTCAACACATGTTCTCTGATCTTTCGCATAAGGTCTTTTTTCCCAACACTCGTGTTTTCCACATTACTATCATTCGTGGAAATAGCAACCTGTAAATAACTATCACGATAGGTAGGCATAAACAAGAAATCACACAATCGAGGGATTTCGGCAACATTGATCGGAATACGTCGTTCCCGCGCTGCTGTCACGATCTTTTGAGATAATTGCGGATCGTTTGTCGCGGATAATATTAAATCCACTACTATGGGATCATTATCCAAAATTCCAATTTCGAATTCTTTATCAATGAATTTTACTAATAGGGTGTCATAATTAACACTGCTACCACTATTCTTTTCTATATACTCTAAAAGTTTCGCGCAGCTTATTTTTTGTTTTGGATAGACAAGTGTTATTTTAGCCGGATTTGCAGATAACGCGAATTCAAAACGGTTGGCCGCAATTTGGTTCCCTCCGATTATTAAGACGTGACGACCTTGTAAACGCCAACCAATAATGAGACTGCTGTATGATGTTGTCATAATGTGGTGGTGCTATCTGAATTTAATATAATTAAATGAAAATAAGGCTATCGGTGTTTTTTTCAAATAAAAAAAAATGCTTGTCATCTTTTGATTTTTAAGATTTTTTATTGAAAAAAAATTTTGCCCGAAAAAAAATTAAGTAGAAAAAATGGCGCAATAATTCTGCAAAAACGCGACTTTGCTATCCAATCAAATAAAAGTGTTGAACAGATTAGTAATTGCTATTCCTCATGTTTGTGTAATGAGATGAATTCAGTTCATAATAAAGAAAATCTTATCATTATCAATATCGATACTGTATTCATGAAGAATCTGAAGCCCAAATTTTAATACTTTAATTGTAATTCAGAAATATATCACTTTATTATTATAAATGTATAGAAATTGGCTAATATTTTTTAAGTAATTATTCTACAATACACTCATTGACACCTAAGCGAGACTTCACATCTTCAGACAATGGAAAATAAGGTCCTACAAGAATCAAAAGTTTAATAAATAACAACAAAATAATAACAAAGAAATCACTAAATTAATTACTTTCGACAACAGTGCAAAGATCGCCTGTATCACCTCCTTCTCCATCAATTCTCAATTTTTCTTGAAAGGTCTCTCTAACAAACGGTGTCATATCCTCAATTCTCACAACAAAATCATCCAAAAATCGATTTAACATTTCACCACGAATTCCCAACTGGATAGCTCGTCTTTGTAATTTCTTGTCATCCAAATTATAATCAGGATCCCACTGAAAAATAACATCTGATTGTTTAACAGTTTGTTTCCATTCTTCCTCGTTCTCGTAGACTCCAAAACTATGACCAAATGTCGAAGAAACTGCCGCGCGTAGAATTTCGAGAAAACCTGAATGTTTTATATGAATTCCGAGAATACGTTCTTGGTTGACTTTTGTTGCCCATTTTGATCGATGCATCATCCATGTGAAATTTGTTTTTATCCATGTCATGCGTGTGATTGAAAAATCGGGGCCTCCCAATTTTTGATTTTGTATGGCGTAGTCGGCGATTGACGGACGGTATGCTTGGTAGACTAATACTGTTTCATCGGACCAGTTGACTAGTATATGACGACCTTTATTGGGCCAACGTTTCTCTTGTTGTTTATAAGATTCTATGTGCTGATATATTGATTCCATGATTTTATAAAAACTGATAATTTTAATCATCAATTTCTTTCTCCCTTTTTATATTTTAACGATTCGCATAATGCTCAACATTTTGCGCAACACATAATTAGTATCGGTATTACGTTATGCACAATTGATAATAAAATAACGGTGTGTAACACCGTCGTTGATAATTTTTCAAATCACGTGTAACATGTTATACATTTAAAATACAAATAATGAGAATCATTTCTTTTGTTTTTTCTTTGCAGGTCCGTCATCGTCACCACCACCACCACCCTTCCCCCCACCTCCATATTTCTGTTCCATTATTCTACTAATCTTTTGCCAATCTCTATCAATTTTTTGTTTTTCTGTTAATTCTTTGCCACTACGTCTAGTCTTGCGTCCATCGCCCGTCTTTACACCAAACTGAAAAGCTGATTTAGGCATTGCAGTGACATTGTCCTAACAAAACATAATCACAAAGTTAAAAAATATATGCTCACAAAAATCCAAATATCTATCAAAATACCTTATATTCTTGCCACTCTTCTTCCGTATCAAAATCCCATCTTGAAAGTTGTGCCTTTTTATTCTTCGTGACGCCCTGATCACGAATAGTATGCTCAGCCCTGGTACCATCAGAGTCGGAGTCGGAATGACCGGATTCGTAAGCACTTTCTCGTGTTCCACTAATGGTAGAGCTCATACCAAGTCCATAGGTTGAATAATCCCCTTCGTAACTATCATGGCTTACTAACTTCTTTTTCAAGTCTTCGTTCTTTGTTGTTGTTTTTGTTGTTGTTATTATTGTTGAAGATGATAATTTATTTTCTAGAATTTGTTCATTTAGTAAACGAGTATCTTTGATTCCTATAGAGGCTTGCTCTATTAAATAATCTATAGGCTTATTGTTTTTATCGATGTCTATTTTATCCTCTTCATCTTGTTGTTGAGAGTAATCATCAAAATAATTAGGCTTATTAAACTCATTTTCCAATTTACTTTTTCCGGCAGCAGCCGGAAAAAGTGGACCAACGAATCCAGTATCTTCATCACTCTCCTCTTCTTCATCTTTTGTTTTAAGCTTCTCTTCAACAGATGCGGACTCGTAATCTCTTCCAGCTTCAGCAAAGATATCCTCTGAATCATCAATAGCAGCAAACCTCACCATTCGAACTTCTTCAGGCTGTTTTTCTTTTAATTTTCTTTTCGTTTTTTTATCTTTTAGATCGACGCCTCCACTCCGTTCACCTTTTCTCACGTACGCCATAACCTGTGAAATCTTTTCAATCACTAAATCATTCGTGGTCTTATCCTCTGCATTTATATCGTTAATGTCGGCTTTACTTCTGATTACGGTGGTAGGTATCGCAAACGGGTCTCCATAATCGCCCATCTCGTCAGCCAATTCAAAAATATACGCCATACGACCAGCGATAAATAGTTCATTCACTTTCGGCGGTTTTTTCTTTGCGTCGATAACAGCAAAATCATAGATATTTTGTGCAAGTCGACTATTTATTCGTGGTTTCTCTTCAGTCTCCTCTTTTAATCGTCTTAAAACTGCCTCGAGCTCATCATCTTTTTCAGATGCTGATGTTCCCGAACCACTACCTTCTTGATCTAGTTCATTACGCACTTTTGCTAATAAAGCGAAATCAAGACCTTTCACCAAGTGTGTGTGTTCTGTATCACCACCTAAATATTTCGATTGTTCATAGATGGTTTTTGCCTCGAGCGTTTCACTCTTGTTTAATGCTTTTAGAATTTGCTCGGTTTCTTGGTAATCGGGGTTCGCGCCTTTACGACGTTCAGCAGCCCGGTCACGATATTTATTCGTTTCGGTTGTTTCGAAATCTGTAGTAGCATCGATTGGTTTTCTGAAATGACTAAACACACACGTGAAACATTGATGATGAAGTTAAAGCAACCGAATAAACCCAAGAGAATTTAAATTACAATTAATCACGAAAACAATTACGTTTTCTTTGGCCTTGAAGCTGGAATGTCAGCAAATGTGACCTTTCTATTTAAATAATTGTAACGGTCAATTAGTATTTGTATGCATGCAAGTAACGACTGACATCATATAAAAAAGTCATTGTAATTAAAAAAGACAGCTTACGGGGTAGCAGGAGGAGCAATCCGATGCTTTGATATTGCACTTCCTAGACTACCCTTTACAGGTGCTTCCCCAGGTCGGGGCGTTTGTAATAGCTTACGAAAATCATCTTGTTTCAGCCTATCAAGACAGAGTATAAGCTAAAATAAGTAATTTTAAAAAAATCAATGTGGCAATCCTCAAAAGTCTAATTGGTGTAAAATGTAAAGCACCCTTTGTTTGATGAATGATCTACTGGTGAGGACATGTAAAATTTATTGTTTTTGAATGTTGAAGTAAAAGAATAACCCTTGATTTTGGTCATGTGAATTAATAAGCTAGCACAAAGCACGTGTACTAATACGTATAAATCAGTTCTTTTAATCAAAATTATATTAGATGTTTATTCATTCACCCCCCCCCCCCGAAATATATAAAAATACAATAATAAATAGTAAATAATAAATAATAAATAATAAATAATAATAAAATAATTATTCAATTATCGAAATTGACAATAGAGCGTGTACATCCGTAAGAAGAATTTAGTGAACTCCGTTGAGTCTTTGGCATCCGGCACCTCACCAAAAAAGAAGATCGGCAAAATACAGCACTAACCCCAAATGATTGTCTATTTCGATTATACCAGAATCACCGCAACAATAACAGCCACGAAGATAGCATGCACGCCATTTATTTGAGGATACGTAGCAGCGCTTACGCTGATGCCGCTGCCACCGATGCCGCTGCCACTGCCGCCATTTGATGAAGCTGAACTATCGGTGTTTTGCGAGGAACTGCTACTATCACCAACATTGCTATTGTTGTTTACTGGGATTGATTTTGGTGGAGTTGTTGGTTCTACTGATGTTGAAATGGTTTGTATTGTGACACTAGTGGGAGTTTGCTTAGTGGTAGTTGGCTTAGTGGTAGTAGCATTAACTGGAGGTTTATAATCCATCACTATCTTTGATTTTCCATTAGAATTACACTGTAACACTGACGCATAAACAAACGTCTCACTCGCTAATCCGGATATCAATTTGTAAGGACACGGTTTACACTCCTCCTCCAAAATATGTTGCGCATTAACGATAAGTGAGCATAAACACGTCAACGAGCTACCGACCAACGTCACTTTTTTCGACATTACGTCTGTATCTGTGATATCGAAAAACTTTTGCCACTCCGATGCGGCTATTTTCGCACACTCGGGCAATCGTTGACGGTTTTGCACCCAACATGCTTGACAGCTTGCCCATGCTTGTTGATCGGCTGCTGTTAAGCTTTTTGGCAGATTAGGCGATGAAGGTGGCATTTGTTGAGAAGTTGCGAAGAGTAAGAAGAAGGGTGATAGTGAGAGGAAGAGTGCGACGAGTAGGGTTGATGAATGGGTGTTATATCTCTTCATTGTTCTTTTTTTGTTTGTCTTTTCTTCAAAAAAGACCAGGGTGTATAGAAATGAAGGAGTAAAAAATGTGAAAGGGAAAGAAGAGGAGAAATATTTTTCTCGTGGGAATATATGAGAGAGAAGGGGAAAAAAGATAAGAGAAAAAAGGAAAAAGAAAATATAAAGAATGAAAAAAGCAAAAGAAAGTCTATAAACACGCCCTTGTATGCCGTCTATTTCTAACTGGTAGAAAACCGACAAAAGCCAGAAAAATTAACGTATACATACATATCGAGACGCATTTTATACATTACACGTTACCGTTACATACATTTAATTAATAAAACGGCTAAACCAATAACGTAGTAAAATTTTCTATTTTTATTTGTATTTAATATATACATACTTAATTTAGTATATTATTGTAACAGTGTATAATTTATGCAATATGAATTATTACTGCTTTCAGACGCGGGCATTGCAAATCTCTAAACCCGTTAAACTTCTTCGGTCATTTCATCCTTTCCTAAAGGGTGTTGGCAGCTGACAACAATGGTGAATTCATAAACTATATGGGCGATCAACCAACTACCCTATAAATTGCATGTTTTATAAAGCGAATTAAGATTTTAATACCAAAAAAGGCCTAACGCTAATAAAATATAAAAACTTTAAAACGATATGATCGGCAAATATAGAATCCATTATATCGGGTGAACTTGATAAACTTCGATAAATGAATTTCTGACCATTTCGGTTTAACGGAATTGACTGTATAATCAAATAAATATATTATCAATCGCATGCCACCATTTCGGGCAGCATTAATGTCGTGGTTCTAGTACATCTAAAGCGTAAGAGGCAAAGTTGCCTGTCGTAATTATTTTGAATAATTACGACATTACGACAAATATAAATAAAGCAATTACATAATATTTAAGACAAGCAGCTTTAAACCAAGGTGGATAAGAACATGCAAAAAAATAAAATTGCTTATAAAAAAGTGCACACTATTCTCATTCTGATATCAAATCATCCCTTTTTCAACTTGTCTTTTTTTTGCTTCAAAAACAACTACAAAATTTGATTTTAATAATCTTATTAGAATCTTTGATATTAAAAACATAATAATTCTCTCTTTTCTGAGTTTGGATTTACTAACTAATACTAATACTTGTTTTCTTGCCAATAAAAGAGCAATTATAGTAAACTGGCCAACACAATGAAATCCAAATGCTCCAAATGATCTAAATGATCAAATTGCTTCATTTACCTTCCAATTTAAACAACAATTTAGAACTGTTGATAAAATATATGAATGACAATAACAATTAAACCAATGAAACAATTACTTACTGAAAGTGTTAAACAATATTCTGCTGTTGTTTGAGAATTACTTCATCTAATAGATCCAAATAATGCATATTAAGAACATTTCAAAGTAATATTATTTGTCAATGATTTGAAACCAAAAATCAAATTCTTTGTTAATCCAACCAAATCAGCTACTTTGAATACTGTAATTCACACTGCTCAATTATATGAATCTAGTTATCAACAATTTGTTTGATCCATTACTAATATCACAACTATAAGTTTACTAAATATTTCAACCATATTATAATAGCTAAATAAAATCAACTTATTTTTACAACAATTAGTTACTTTAATAAATAATTGAAAATATTATTAACAAATAATAATCAAAATGCTAATTAACAAAATAATGAATTTAATAAAAAAGTATTTAATTAACAACAAAATAATACTTAATCATCAACTTGTTATAATTATAAAAGAATTAAATATATTGTTATTTACTGCTAAAACTGCTAAAGCAAGTATAATAATGACTATAATAATCAAAAACTTTTTTTTTATAGATCTCTAGATCATATATATAGCAAGAAAAAAAATTTCAATAAAAATTCAAATAATATTAAAAAATTTATTATAATCAAATTCTTTCTTTTGTAACAAGCTTCAAATTTATATATAACACTTTATTATTTCTTTTAAATAAATAAATATTTCATTTCTTTAAAATTTTTAATCAAATTTATTATTTTTTTACATATAATTATACAATAAAATCACAAAAACAACATAAAAACAACAAAAAAAACAAAAACAACAAATAATTCTCTCTAATTTTACATATTAATAATAACTTCTTCATTTTCTGAAGCTTCAGTTTCTATTTTTTTATTTAAAATTCTCATCCAAATACTAGATCTTTTATCTAATCCAAAATTTAACAAATCAAAAATATTATTTCTTTCAACAATTTCACAATTAATACCAATAATTCAAATACAGATATAATCAATAAAAAAATATGATATTTACAAATATCCTAATATAATAACAGCAATCAAACTAGATAAGTACATAATATACAGCATGTCTAATTCTAATAAAGACAAAAATACTCTAGATGATATATTTATGAAAAATTTTTTTAGCAATTCATCTAAAAATAAAATATATCTAATTAACATATCCAAAAAAAAATTACAATTTATCATTGATGACAAATCACAATTCACTATTAATATAATTAACAAATAAATAATACCTGAATTAGATAATAATTAAATATATAATATAATTAATAATTCAAATATACAAATATCTGAATATAATGATATCACCCAAAATTTAATATTACTCAAAATTACACAAGCTTTCCTTATTTATTTATACTCCTAATAATTTTAATTCTCAATCACAAAACACCAACCAACAAATAAATAATAACACAATCAATAAATGAATTACTATTATTAGCAAAAAAAAAATACAAGAAATAGATATCTGTTCAAGTATTATTACAAAATATTATCTTAGAAAATATTAAAAATTTAAATAATGAATTATATTTTATTCAAGAATTTCTAAATACTCAATCTGTAACAATTAATAATATTCAATACCTTTATACAGAATTTAATTCTGAATTTGTATTCTTATAAGCAATACAAATTATATTTGATTAAAATACTTATATTACAACACTCAAACTTAATCAAAAATCAAATATAGTCCAGTGCAAAAATGTTGATACATGAAAAATAAAAGTTAATAATTACTTTTAATAAAAGTTATACAATATATAATTAATATTTATAATTTTTTTATATTAAGTAAAGTATATCTTAATATAACTTTTTATATTATTTT